ACTTCATTTTCTGGGCAGGAAGTATCTCACAAATGCTAGAGCTTTGAATTCCATTTCTGATGTACACTAAAGACTTGACTGATAAACACATTTCCTCCTCTTCCTCCTCTTCTCAATCCATCCTTCCTCCAGTCTTCTTTCCCCTCCCTCCCTCCCTCCCCTTTCTTCCCTCCCTCCTTCCTTCCTTCCTTTGTTGGACTCTTGTTTCTCCAATGATTTGAGGGGATTTTGCCTCTTTTTTCTTAGCTACAAAAGGCCACATTACCTCTGGAGAAGCAGTAGCATTTGTGAGAAAGCCCTACTCTGGTACCAAGCACTTCACAAGACTTTCTGTGAATTCCTTGGCAGCTATGTTCAAGAGTGTACTATAAAACAACAGAAAACTTTATTCAAACACTGCTTGTTGATTATCCAGCAGTGACAAGTGAGTAAAGGTCTAGTTAATCTGTTACCCAATATGTAGAACCGAGTTTTCCATCCAGGATGAAAGTATATATTTTCCTCATTTCCCCTGAGTTTTTCATTTCATTCATCCTTCTACACTTAATAATACCCTGATAATAAAATTATTGGCTTTTCAGTTATGTTTTTTKTTTTTTTTTTTTTTAGGAAAAAAACAAACAAACAAAAAACCAGTCATTCATTCTCCAGAACACGTACCACCAAGTAAGCATGTCTGGATGATACCCTGTCATTCAGCATTTTCATACCATCTTTTATTTTATTTTATCCTTCCCACTTGACATCTCTATTCCTTATGCATTAAAAAAAACTCTGCACTTAACATTATTTCTTTCCAACATTTCCAAACTTTTCTTCTCTAATTAGTTTGTCTGGTCCTTTTTTCACTCATCCTAGAGAGTACAAAGGCAAGAGCCACCCAGAAAACCTTGATCCTCTTCTATTCCCTTCCATTCTTTATCCTCTTCTATTCCCTTCTATTCCCTAGCATTATATTCTCTAACTCCATCCATTTACCTGCAAGTGCAATATTTTCATTTAAACATTCTTCCCCTTCCTTCCTCCCCTTATTCTCTCAGTCACAGATTACTTAAATATCTTTTAATCCTCCGTCGATATTTTCCACATCAGTCACAGTGAATTTTTTTTTTTTAAATAAAAGTCTGATCACACGTGCCCCTTTGTTGCTTATAATACTTCAATGATTTCTCATTGTCAAAGAGAATAAAGATCTGGGCCTCCTCTGACATATAAGCACCATTGTATCATGTCTCCTATGAGGCTTTTCAAAGCTGCACCAGCCATTCCTGACTGCTTCTGATCTATAAATGGGACACCTTTTTAACTACCTGGCTTTCACTTTTTCAATGGCAACTCCCTTCTCTTGTCCCTGTCTACCTCCCCTCTCTCCCTTCTCCTATAGTCTTCTCAAGATATCTCTCCCCACCCCACCTCTCTCTCTCTCTCTCTCTCTCTCTCTCTCTCTCTCTCTCTTCTCTCACTACTGGGGATTGAACCGAGGCTTTCACACATGTTAGGCAAGCCCTACACCACTAAGCTGGACTTCAGCCCTTTTTATTTTTAATTTTGATACAGAGTCTCAGTAAGTGGACCAGGCAGGCGTCAAACTTGCTGTCTTCCTGCCTCAGCTCCAGAGTTCACCGGGACATGTTTACTATCTCACATTCCCTTCTAGAAAACAGTCTCTGGAAACTCTCACCCCAGATTCCATTCACAGCTCTCCCACTTTCTAGTTCTGGATCTATATAGATTATTCTTTCTCTTGGTGCTTCAGTTTCCTCATCGGTGAAGCAAAGTTATTCTAGTCCTCATCCCCTCCGGCTGTTGTGCAAACTAAATGAACAAGTAAAAATGAATTACATAATGAATAATGATTAAACCCATAAATACCACAAGACAGTAATATCACATTTCAGTTAGCTTAACAATAATAAAAAGGCAAACCTACTAGGCTGATAAATAGAAGAAAACATTCTGAAGCCAAATATAGATAATTTGGGGCTTAATAATTATTTAAGATCAATTATTTTCTGTTCTCTTTTGATTCTTAGAATAATAAGTATGTAGTCCCTGTGTGTGTGTGTGTGTGTGTGTGTGTGTGTGTGTATGCGTGTGTGTGATTGAACCCAGGACACTTTACCACTGAGTTATTGTGCTATATCCTCAGTCTTTTTTAAAAATTTATATATGACAGCAGAATGCATTACAATTCTTATTATCTAGAGAGAGCACAATTTTTCATACCTCTGGTTGTATACATAGTATATTCACACCAATTCGTGTCTTCATACCTGTACTTGGGATAATAATGATCATCAAATTCCATCATCATTTCTAACCCCATGCCCCCTTCCCTTCCCCTCCCACCCCTCTGCCCTATCTAGAATTTGTCTATTCCTCCCATGCTTTCTCTCTCTATCCCAGTGTAAATCAGCCTCCTTGTATCAAAGAAAGAATTCGGCATTTGTTTTTTTTGGGATTCGGTAACTTCACTTAGCATTATCTTCTCTAACTCCATCCATTTACCTGCAAATGCCATGATTTTATTCTCTTTTATTGCTGAGTAATATTCCACTGTGTATATGTGCCACATTTTTTAATTTATTCATCTATTGAAAGGCATCTAGGTTGGTTCCACAGTTTAGCTATTGTGAATTGTGCTGCTATAAATATTGATGTGGTTATGTCCCTGTAGTATCCTGTTTTTAAGCCTTTTGGGTATAAACTGAGGAGAGGGACAGCTGGGTAAAATGGTGGTTTCATTTCCAATTTCCAAGAAATCTCCATACTACTTTCCATAGTAAAATTTGCAGTCCCACCAGCAGTGTATAGTGGACCTTTCCCTCACATCCTCGCCAACACTTATTGTTGTTTGTATGCATAATAGCTGCCATTCTGACAGGAGTTAGATGAGCTCTTGTAGTGATTTTGATTTGCATTTTTCTATTTGCTAATGATGATGAACATTTTTAATATATTTGTTGATTGATCGTACATCATCTTCTGAGAAGTGTCTGTTCATGTCCTTGGCCCATTTATTGATTGGGTTATTTGTTTTTTCGGTGCTTAGCTTTTTGAGTTCTTTATATATCCTAAAGATTAGTGCTCTATCTGATGTGTGAGGGGTAAAGATTTGCTACCAAGATGTAGGCTCTCTATTCAGCTCACAGATTGTTTCTTTTGCTGAGAAAAAACTTTTTAGTTTGAGTTTATGCCATTTATTGGATTCTTAATTTTAATTCTTGTGACACAGGACTGTTTTCTCCAATGCATGTTCTTGGCACCTTTGTCTAATATAAGATAATTGTAGTTTTGTAGGTTAGTCTCTGTGCCCTCTATTCTGTACCATTGGTATACCAGTCTGTTTTGGTGCCAATACCATGCTTGTTGTTGTTGTTATAGCTCTGTAGTATAATTTAAGGTCTGGTATAGTGATGCCACCTGCTTCACTATTGGTGCTAAAGATTGCTTTAGCTATTCTGGGTCACTTATTTTTCCAGATAAATTTCATGATTGCTTTTTCTATTTCTGTGAGGAATGTCATTGGAACTTTGATCAGAATTGTATTAAATCTGTATAGTGCTTTTGGAAGTGTGGTCATTTTGATAATATTAATTCCATCCTCAGTCTTTTTTGAAAATTTTTTTGAGATGAGGTCTCAATAAGTTGCTCAGGCTGGCCTCCAACTTGCATCCTCCTGACTCAGCCTCCTAAGTTGCTGGAATTACAGGTGTGCACCACTGTACTAGTTTTGAATGTAAGATTATAATGAAGTGGATTTAAATTAATGAATGCCTATATTGGAAAGGAAATAGAAAAGTAAACATATAATAAACAGTTGCTTTCTTAATCTCAGTTGAAAATATTTTTGGAATATTACCAAGACTTAAAGCTTTCAGGATAATTCTTTTTTCTTATATTGAGAGATTAGAGTGAGAGTTTGACATTGTACAAACTCTGATGATTCATATAAATACCATAGTACTTAGTTTAAATATATTAAAGACTATGCTGTGTCTAGGACAAATTATTTGAGTTTGAGGTTTGAAGTGCTACAGAGGCTCAGATCTGTAGCCATGCTTAGGATCTCTAGGGGACTAATGAATGAGAGAAAAAAAAAATGTGCCTTCAGTTGTTTCCTGGAGTGCTGTTTAGATCTCTAGTTGATTCTGCTTCTATTTAAAGCAATGGTCCTGGGTAGCTAGAATAAATCCTGACGCGGATACATAAAAGATTTCATAGTTGGGAACATAGTGTAAGGCCTGGAATTTAGTGAAGCTGTTAAGTTTAAATGAAAGCACCCTCCATCTCTGAAAAGAATGAGAAATCTGAGAAAATATCAGGCAAGGACTTGTTGGCCTCCTCAGCAGCCAGGGCTAGAGTTCTCCAGGGACAAAGTCTAAATTATTGACCTCCTTGAAATTGCTCTTGAGGATTTAGAGCTAGTCACTGTCCCATTGTTTCATTGCCYAAAGCAGGATTCTGTTGAAAGAGAAGGGGGTCTGGTTATTTCGATAGCCCTGATTTCCTCAGGGGAATAGCAGAAGTAAGGAATGCTAACAAAGGGTCTTGTGGTCACCCTTAAGTTGGAGCAAGGAGAGATGGTGAATACCAAACAGCAGTAATCATATTTTTAAAAATTGTTTCTCTGCCCCTCTCTTTGTCTCAGTCTGTTGAAGTGTAGGTGTCGTGCTCAGAAGACTCATGCAATAATAAAAATTTCCACATAAGAAAAAAAACCCTCCCTTCTGTTAAAGTGTCACTAAGTTGTAAATCACAGAATAATAATAAGTTTGTGATGAGATTGTAATGTTTATGAAGTCTCTATACACCATCTGACAAAATGTGCTCCATGTTTTTTTAAATGACCATCAAATCTTAATATTTACACCTGGTAGGATCTACTGTTATCTGCAATAATATATTTATGCCATTACCTATCTATTTAAATGAAACTTAAATATTTATTTCTCCTTACTCTTACTCCTGATCACATCCTGGGCATCTTTTCTATGAAGCTGAGTCATCCAATGGTGGCTATTCCTGAACATGAAACTCTCGATTCCAAAGAGGTAAATGTAAGACACAGTTGGAGATCTAGTTATGCATTTCTGTGTGATATGGATTGTAAGAATAAGCCAATTTTATTTTTTTAATGCTAGAAAAATTATGTTTTTGCAAAGAAAGAGTTATAATTGCCTGAGCTACTTTGTTGTTTAGAAGCATCTCATCATTTAATAAGGGTATTTTTGCTGTGTGTAGCACCTTGACCACGAAACAACTTCCTCAGGCTCCTATGTCTGTCTTTGTGATTTTTCTCTTTGGGTCCATGTGTGAAACCACTCAAGACTTCTCTCTCTAGAGGGCCAAGGAATGTCCCATAATACTATGGTGTGTTTCTGGACAGGGTCACGGTGTCAATGGTGTCTCCATTTCAGTTCATGGGAAGGTGAGAGTGCCAACAAGCACTCCCAGCCTCCACCAGGAGAATTTGTACACTGTGTGTGTCGCACATAGGCAAAGTGCTGTTGGCTCAGTCACAGCCTCTAAATTTAATGCCAGTGTTTGTTCATTTCATGTTTGGAGGAGACAAACAAAAATAAATTAAAACCACCTTATTTTATTTTTTGCAAATGCTGTACCATACAAAGAAAACAATTCTGTAAAAATACTCTCTGTATGGTTTAGTTTTGTGTTCAAGAGAAAGGATAATTGAACAATGTTTTCTTCCACATTATTTTAGATAAAATGGAAAATGTGAGGGAAAAAAGGCAACTTTAAAGGATTTCTTTTTAAGAAGGGAATGAATTCACACATTCATTTTAGGTACATTTACAGATGAAGTATGCTTAATATTGCAGTCTCCAAATTTAGAAAAAAAACAAGCATAAAACAAAAGAGAAATAGAAATAGTAAAATTCCAAATAAAACTTGAATTTACCTTTCCAATATATATTTTCCACAATTTAGAGTATGTTATATATTTTTCATAAACTGACATCCTTATTTCTATACATTTAAAATTTCCTGACATACAAGACCAATGTGGTTTTCTACTATTACATTAGTCTAAAATGCAAAGGAGTGTTTTAATAGGTATGGATTAATACTTGACCATATCTGATTGTTTTTAAGGTATCCTAAAGACAGGATTATTGGTTTATTAAGTGTAAGCATATAGCAGACTTGTAACTGTTCCTTAAAGTGTAGCAACTCACCTCACCAGGTGTGTGCTATAATACCTGTCTCTGTGTATTATTATTATTATTATTAACAGTAGTAGTACTAGGATTGAACCCAAGTGCTTAATCACTGAGCTACATCCCCAGTCCTTTTTATTTGTATTTTGAGACAGGGTCTCACTAAGTTGCTTAGGGCCTCCTTAAGTTGCTGAGGCTAGCTTTGAACTTGTAATCCTCCTGCCTCAGCCACCTGAGCGTCTGTGATTACTGGCATGTGTCACTGTACCAGGCTTGTCTCCATGTATTCTTGCCAGCATTGAAAGTTAATATAATTGCAAATTTATTGAGAACTTACTATATGTTAGAGATAGTGTTATGCAGTTTACCTTAATCTTTACAAAACATTCTAAATTAAGTAATCTTATTTTTCCAAGTTTACAAATGAGAAAACTGAGGTTGAGGGAATTCCCTTTATTGCCTAAATGTAATCAAATAGYTGGGAAGAGTTTACACAATCATAAATTAAATCAAGATCTGTCTGGAGCTTGGGCTCTTAAGTGCTCGACTATACATTATCCAGTATCTAAATTAAAGATCCTAATTAAGAAGAAGACCTTTATCTAAATTTGTCTATTTTAATCTAAAAATCTATCTATACTATCTAGGTCTTTCTACATTTTAACATTATATTTACAAATATTTTCCAACTTAAAAAAGAAATAATTTTTCATATTTGCATTTGAAAATTCTGCATTTTTTGTCTGTTTTCTATTTTTCTTTTGAATTATGTTGTGTATTTATTTACAGGTATTCTAATATTTTTATTGAGTAGTATATCCTTTTATATATTGAGGATATTATCTATGCCAAATATGATAGTCCTTTCAGTATATAATGATGGCAAATTGTATAAAAATAAAAAATCGGACAAACATATCTAAAAAAAGGAGAATGAATGAATTTTGCACTTTTCAGATGAGGGTAAAAATAATCAAATGTCTTTATTTCAAACACCATAATTTTGGAGCAAGTTCATTAGACGATATCTACAGGATAATGTTTGTATATAATAAAGAGAAAATCAGTTGGTATTTGAATAACAAAAGCATTCCATTCATATTATAAATTGAGAACTTTTGAATGTCAGATAATGTGAAAGACTTTGTGTTGCCAAAGAGAACAGAGTAGATGCAGTGTTTGAATTTTTTTTTCATCAATTATCACAACCCTGTAGATGAAGCTTAAAATTAAGCTAGTGGATAAGATTGCCAAAAAATGATCTTAAATCAGGTTTGGATTTTATGAAAAATACAAAAGAAGCTAAAGTTTAATGATGTCAGAGACAAAAACTTTTACTATTAAAAGAGGTGCAAATAATGAAGCAAACAATCCTTTTATGCTTCCAATGTGCTATGCCATTTGTAGAATATTGGCACATTTTATAGTAATTTAACAGCTTTCCTCAACTCCTTATGATATACAGTTAGGCTGCAGTATTGGTCCATATATTTGCACAAAACCCATTCTCTGTCATTTATTTACTTGCAAAACATCACCAGAGAAAAATGTCTGATTTTTTAAATCAACTCCAGTCCCATCACCATGTAGCCTAGAAGAGTAACTACGGGCCCAGCTACTTATGCAAGTAAAGAATTATGGAAGAGGGCTTGATTGGACCTTGGGATTCCTCCCTTGTTTTTTCTTTCATTTCCTAAAGACAGTACTTATTTCTTGAATCTAATCATGTTATTTGTAAATAAACAGCTTTTAAAATTAAGTCAGTAATTTATTTAAATCTATATAGATCTCAAATTCATTTAATTTGACTGGCTGATTGCTTTTGTAACTCACCTGATTTCTAAAGTTCATCTTAAAGGGACTAACTAATAAGTACAATTACACTTATTATCTAGCTCAGGGCTTAACTTGTTAGGCTGAACATTAGAATCACCTGTAGTGACTTTTCCAAGGAACCAATGGCAGGGCTTCACTCTAGGCAAATTGAATTAAGATTCTGGTGGTGGGCCAAGGCTTTTGGCTGGTTTTAAAATCTCCCTAGTTGATTCACATGTGCATCACCCTCTTCACTGGCAGTTCAGGAAAGTGAATCAWATCAGTTATTTAATTTTGAAAACATAGAAGCGAAACTAACAGCAATAGATTTTTTCAAAACTTATCACATTGAATGATTTCAATTACAAAACATGGGGGTCACATACTCCTATCCAGTGGCACAAAGTTATAACATGTGCTTTAATTTATGGTGGATTCACTTTAAGAGATGTGTTCGGAGATTCACTGTAATTTCCTTAGTAGAATCTGATATTTTCTGTTTTCCTTGACATTCTACACGGTGTTTGGATGCTGCTTAGGCTGAGGCTGGGTGAGGCAGGATGGCAAGCTGAGTCTGGGGGCTTAGGACACTCGAAACAATGTTTCATTTATACTTTATATGACATATGAACAAAAACACTTGGCCACTGATAAACCCACATATAAACAGATAAGCCTCCTAAATAATCAGTTTGATTATTGTATCAACTGATTGCCTTTCATAGATTTCCACTTTCATACCAGTGCAGTAATCACCAAGTGGATGAATATTTAACACCATGCAGGGTGGGCATGTCTTCAATAAATATTTTCTGAGTGAATTTACTTTGAATAAAATTGAATTGTATTAGGCAGCAATTATTTTATCATATTTATTATATCTTGTGAATTCAGCACAAGATACTCCATATTCACTCTTTAACTCAATTATTTTTCTACATGATTAATTATGAAAGTCATGCTGGGGAGTAAGATATAATCAGAACTTCCTTCTTTCCTTCTCCTGCTACATGAAGCCCATGGACTATTTCATTTTCACCTTGAGGGTCAACTAATTTCCAAAAACATTGTTAGATGCATCTGATTCTGACCTCTCAGATTCACACAACTTGAGAGTTAATCATTTACTAGCTGCCCGTAAAACACATACGAGGCAAATTCTTCTCCTGTTTTCTTATTTCTTCTTTGCAGATTTTTGATAAACATTTAAGGGTTGTCAAGATTACAATTCTGACAGCAAGGTGACTATGACTGATTTGCTACTTTGTGGTATATAGCATCTCATGTTCATTTTATTTTGAATCCCAGAACATCTATTGATGTCTGTTTCTGATTTTATGATTAGCTTTCTGTTGTTCTGTCTTTATTCTATAGATGAGAACATGGAAGAGACAAAATGAATATTTTGTTTATAAAAGCCACTCTCGCATTCTGGCTTGATCAAGGGTAAAAAATGAAAATTTCAAGAGTAATGGGCCCACTCTACTATTTTTAGGCAATTTCTTAAAAAATATTATTTCTCAAAATCAATCTTTGCCAAATCTTGGATTGCTGAGAGTTCAAGGACCAGATAAATTATCTTATATAATAAACACAACGAATACAGGCACCTGAATGGACAGCCACCTTAGCCAGGCATCTGGAAGGATATTTCATTTATTTTTATTGGTGCATATTAATTATACAGTATCATATATTTCATTTGTGTCCTATATGTCTATACATAAAAACAAACTTATGAATATTTTATAAAACCTTAATTATTGAATGTTTTATAACTCCTGCCTTATGGATACTAAATTCCAGTACTAGGTCTTATGTTTTTACATTGAAGACAATAGTTACATACATGTGCAAAATACATTTAAAATTATCCAGAAAAAAAAGAACATAGCATTTAATAATAGTATGATATATATTTCTTGGAAATGGCTTTTTGTTTTGTGCACATGAAGCCTGGTTTTCATATCTTTAAGGACATATATGTTGATGACTTTGCTTTTGCTTGGCAGGAAAGAATATGTGTAGTTGGTTTTGCATTACCAGAAAATGAAAAATCAATTTACACAGCACATTCTTTTAAAAATACTTTCAATAACATTGGCTTAAAATTTCACAAGACTACACTCACTTATTAACCAAAGTTAACTTGAACAACAACAAAAAAAGATTTTGGAACTTGACTCTCTTCAGAACTATGATTTTCAAAGTGCCTTAARTTCATTCTTTCTTATATTTTCTTAAAACCCAAATGAGTGTGTTGTTCCATTGGCAACAAAATAATGAATCTTTGTTGCCAGAGTACTGGTTTGAAAATGAGGATTTATTTATTGAGGTATTTAAAGGTCTTCATTTCTTTTCTTAAATATTTGCCTTTGTTTCTCTCAAGTTATTTAACTCTTGTATCAAGATTGGCAAAGAAAGTAAAAACTTGATAAAATGTCTAAAGTAATGTCTCGTTACAATATATCTTTTCCAACCAGATGTTGAATTGTGGGGTCAAACATTCTTTTGATCTGTCAGTGGGTTCAGGGAGCACTGCGAGATCTTGCTGAGATGGCAGTGTGGTGGCAGGGTCACCTACTCTATTTCAACCTGCTTTAAATATTCATATAAGTCTAAAATATTATGTTTGAAAGGAACTGCAGAGGGACGTTAGTCCAATATTATATTTAATATGAAAATCCTGCCTATAGCATATATCTTTATATATCTTCTATTTAAAATCTTCTGATGACAGAGAATTTACCATCTCACAAAGCTCAATATATGCTTTAGTATGAYAAGAAAAACTGATGACTATACAAACAATAAAAACAATAAACTAGGGTTTAATTTGAAATACTGGGGCCTTGGTGTGATAGCTAGTCCTCTTGAGACTCAAGTTCATTCTCTGTAAAATGGGATCAAAGGGTTATGGTGAAGATCTGAAGCAATGTGTATAAAGTGCTTAGCATATAAAATACGTAGCACTTGATAAATTTTAGACAAACAATGAGGATTTCTTTAAATCTCATAATATTAACTACTATATATTGACATTTCCAGGAAAATCAAATTAATAGTGTTTTTATTTGTTAGAAAAATGAAGGAGGAGGTATACTTTATTCAAAGAAACCTGGATGATGAAAGTTGCATCTTGCTTACTCATGACTGATGATTTTCTGTGGCCAGAACAAATCAGTGCAATCATGGAGCTACCCTAATCTTAGTGTGTTTTTTCTCTCCTCCTAATCTAAGGAATGCAGTTTGTATAAATGATGTGCAGTACACCCATGCTTCTCAGTGGTGCTTAGCAGATAAACCGTGCCCTTCTCTGGGTTCCTTTCTGCCTTACTTGTCCCTTGCATGTGGGTCTCCTTCAATAAGGCTCTAAGCCACAGGTCTCTCAGACCACTGCTTCTTCATCCCAGTGATCTGGCCCAGGGCAAAACAGGGAGAGTTGGCTCCAGAAAATTAAATAAGCTATTTTATTTTCCACCTGCCATTTTGGAATGCTCCATTGTCAGCCATGAGTTGGCATCTGCAAATTGAAAATTTCAGGCCATTTCCTCCAATGGTGCCTTTCTATCACAGTGTTCTATCAGAGTAGTTTTAGAAACAAATTTCTCTTCTTGCCTCATCTCTGATGCTCTCTTTACACTTTTTTTTTTTTTTTTAGTACATATAATCTGACTTCATGGTTGCTAATAACTATTTCCACTTGGTTAAGTTTATCTTATCTGTTCCAGACAGTCTAACCCTGTCAAACAGGAACACACAGTGGCTGAATGAATAGAGAAATTATTGGGATCTCTCCTTTGCCATGTAGCAACATTATAAAGACAAGAAAATCAATATATAAAGAAAAAGCAAGATCTTTCTCTCTCTCTCTCTCTCTCTCTCTCTCTCTCTCTCCTCTCGCAGTGTTCTATTTTGCAAAAGCTCTGACTTAATCCAATCTGTATTTACTTTACCTCCTTGTTTTAGGTATAACATTTTAGGAAATGAGGTAGTCAGTAATAAAGGAAGGTAGGCAATAGCCAAGACATTGAAGGGTAAGGGGTTGGTGTAGGATACAGCAGTGCTGTCCCTTAAGCGTGCACCAGTCCCTCAATGCCAGCCTAACCCTTAATAGGGGACTAATAGCATTCTGATGATTTCTCAAGAGATCAGAGTCTGATGTGAAGATGTAGCTTTATGTCTTTATCAGTGCTGTTGATCAGGTAGCAAGAAAGCAGATACTGAAGAAATAAAAACAATTTTTTTCCTACAGCAAACTTCCTCCCCCCACCCCAATGGGATGGATGTTATACTCAAATCTTAGTGTATAATTTTCAGGTTTATTTTTTTTATGATGTATTCATCTCTACTAATCTATTATTTCCTCTCATTTTGTAGCAATGAAGTTGGAGCAGAAATGAAAATATGGGCTTCGGAAGTCTTTTCGGAGTGCTGGTGCTAACCACTTGCTAGGTTTAACTCTTATTTTTTTCAGAATGAGTGCTCCCTTTATGAGCAGCAGAGGAACTAAGAAAATTTTGCTGCAGACATACACCATCGCAGCACTCTACTAAACCCAGCATAGGAGAGATTCACCTGCAGCTTCTCACATCGCTGCCCAAGCCTTTGATGCCTTCTATTAAGCTGACAGCAATACTAACTTTCCCTATAGTTAGCAGGCAAAATAAAGAAGAATCATGAGTAAATAGAAGAATGGCTGCGACTGTTTTTTCAATACTAGTTTTATTTAATCCATATACTATTAACCGAATCGGGTTTTATTCCTTTTGCTTCATTTTTGACATGTTTAGAAGAAAAGAAGAAACATGTTTTGTTTCATTTTTATTTATTTATTTTTTTGCAAGAGTTCCTGCCTACTTTCAGGGGATGCTTGTTACATGGGTTCATTGGGGAGACTGTGGACATGATGAAGTAGTTATTTCACATAACATGCTGATTGCCTGTACCTTTGGAGTGCTGTGTTGTTGGGACAGACTATGTACCAGGGACAGCCCTGGGAAGATGATCATGATGTTGCTGGAGTGTCTCTACTGTCTCTCTGCCTACTGCCATGGGGTTCTACTGAAGAGTCAGATTGTTCTCATACTCTTGGGAACAGCAAAGACCATAGAGCAAACCTACACTCTGATTACAGTCATTGGAGCCCATCAGAGGCACACCAATACCCACCATATTGGCCAGGTCCCATTGTTCCCCAGTTGTCATCCTTAGTAGTTGGTCTAGTTGGTCTTTGCCTCCTCTGGTGATTTCCTTCTCCACCCATCCTGGAAACCCAGGATAACACTCACTAAAGTTTTGCACGTGACTCATGTTCCTTTGGAGCCAGCTCTGAGCCACTGTTCCTTAGACCACTGTTTTGGCCCTACAATTGTCCTGCCAGGAGAGTTTCCTACAGAGAAAGCAACTGGGCTCTTTCGTTCTCCCATATCCTTTTAAGAACACCCCATTATCAGCCATGAGTTGGCACCTGGAGACATAAATCTCCTCTGTTGGTGTTAGGAGGACAATGAGTCACAGGAAAGCACTCTACTTGTCTTTCTTTGCTCAAACAACAACTATTCCTCCACCAACCTTCTAAAATGTGTGAAGAATCACCTTAGGTTACTAATAATTATCTCTAATGTTTACTGTGCTCTTATTATGCACCAGATACCACAATAAGTGCTTTACCTGAATATGATCTTACAAGGGGGAGCAATATCATTGTTGATGTTTTATATTTGTGAAAACAGATACCTCCAAATGCTTACATCAAGCTGGCAGAGACAAAATTCAAATCCATGTAATCTGGTTCCAAGACCAACATATTTAATCAATCATTAGTTTTTTCATTCGTTCATTTTTGGACTTCATGTGTAAAAGGTGAGCTGAACACACTCTAGCTCATAGCAGATTACTGTTTGGGTGTACTTGATGATTATTATTTATAACAATCTTATCTTCTTTTCCTTTCTGTAGGAACACATTCTTATGTGTTTAATGTTTATCTTTTGCTTATATGTTTTGAAGGTGTGTATTGTTCTGTTTGCATATATATTTAATAAATGTAAATGGCATTGCTTTTGCTTATGTTGTTTCTTTTTTTTTTTTTTCCACACTCAACACTGTTTAAAGCTCTACACAGATTGCTTCCTCAGAGATGCATGTTGCGGTCACATTATGTTTCACTTATTCACCTGCCCAGCTTTGGTCTCATAGGTCTCCATATTATACAAACTGGTTTGATGCATATTTTTCTGTGTGCCAGTTTGTGGATCTTTGTGAGAGTTTATCTGCAATATATACTTAGGACTAGGCGTGTTTCATATGAAAGCATGCATGCACTTCATTTCACTAAATCCTCCCAGATTGCTGTCTAGAGATACAACCATTCTCGTTTCCACCAGAAATGTATCAGGGATATAACATCTTTGAATCCCTTTCCACCTTTGAATGTCTGAACTTTGCAATGTTCAACTACACCATCACTGAAAGCAGCTCTTAAGTTGGGATTTTGTTTAAAGGTAGCACCCTAGTCATCCTAAGTTTTCAAATTCTCCAATGCTTCAATACCTTTTAAGTGCAATTGTTAGGTAAGTATTCTCTCTTTCATTGGTGAAAACATTGAGCCTGAAATGTTCTTTGAGTCAACACATCAGTGGATGATGAACCTAGCATAAGACTTTTTGATTACCCTGCTATGTTAATTCTTTAATAAAGAAAAAAGCTGCATCAGAATACTGTGTTCTAATTTATTTATTTATTTCAATTTCTTGTTAAAGATCAGAGTCTTAAAGCATGAAGTAAGGAGGGGCAAGTATTGGTTATAGGGACAATATGGGACATAGAGAATGAGCTGTTTTGGGGTTCTGATCATGTTAAAGTACAATGGATTATTTTTGAGGAAGAAAAAGATGGGAAAATGTAGTATGGAATATATGAATATTGAGACCAAGTCTCTATTTGGATTCACCAGGAAACTTACTCTAAGACAAGAATTTGACTAAGCAGTTATTTGGGAAGAGATCACCAGAAGAACACAGCTATGGGATTGAAGAAGTATTCTATTATATAGCCACTTACTAAAATGGGCAATTTCCACTGAGGGATTTGAAGACACAGGTTGAATGAGCATGCATCAGAGTTCAACTTAGAGGAAAGAAAATTTGGGTATTTATTCTAAAAATTGACTATTAACCTTTACATTGTTATGCCCTTCTCTTTGAAATGCTTTTTTAATTTGGAAAAATATTTTATTATTCATGTGCAATGGGACTTGTTATTTTATTGTTAAACTTTAATTTGGGGAAATGGGTAATCTATTGAATATTGCTCTTTATATTTTTTAAGTAAAGTGCAGGAAGAAAGAGCTAATTAATAGCTTAAGTAGGAAGGGGGATATTCTCAGAATGTTATCTTTTGGGCAAGAAGAAAATTCTGCAAGTAAGAAAGAGAGTAAAAATCTTTCTAATGTGGACTACTGTAGATTGACACATTGGAAGCTTTTATCTATTAAAAATTAAATCAACTGTGTGAGAGAATAAGTTGGTGTGCAGGGAGGAAACACTGTTTTGCTTAGATGAAGCCCAGAGGCCTTCAAATAATCAACTACTAATTAGTAAATATTTCTGAATTTTTTTAAAAGGTATATCATATTTTGAGGATTTTCTATGTTTTCTTATGGTATATTGTAAAGGTATATGTAATATTCTCTCAGTGCTTTAGAATATATTCTCAATTTATTTGACTAGAAGGCAATTTTTCTTTATTTTAGAGCTTAATGAACACATTTTAATTTCCTAATACAATGTATTTATATTTTTTGAAAATCTCAGCATCACTTAAGCACCTGAGCCCGTATTTTTCTTCTAATTCTGAAGGTAAATTTAAAAATGAGATTACACAATAGGCAAAGGAAACCTCATAAATAATGAAAGAAAGAAAGAAAAAGACAAACATTTCCAAGGGTCTACATATTGTGACTCAGAAATATTGAACAGAATTTCTAAGGTAAAAGCAGACAGTAGAAGACTCACTAAAAGGAAAAAAAAAAAAAGAAATCCTTATGTAATATTTAGCCAAGGGCATGTTTTGTAGAAAAACTTAGGCAAAAGTTCACATAATCATGTGGGTGGGAGTGGAAATTATTCCTCACAAAGTTTAGGAAGTATTTTAAAATGTAAACTGGGCTAAATCATTCAAAGGAGTAGGAATTCCAGAGATTTTGCTAACTCTGCTTTTGGGTGATAGTTGAGACATTCTTTTTTTTCCCTCTAAATCTATAGTAAGGCTAGTAAAAAGCATAAATTGTGGAAAAGTGAAAGTAACAGTTTCTTTTTTTCTGATGAATAAATAAAATTTATGTAAAAACTTAAGTCATTAAAAATTAGAAAAGAAGTAGATTTTGAGGAATATGTGGTAGGCCATGCTCTGAATTTATGTAAAATTGGTCCTCAGTTATAAGTACATTAGGTTCAACAGAATTTGGGGAATTACATCAATGACTTAAGCTTTTGTCACTTATCATGTTAAATTAGTAATTTAGGATGGAAATTTCCCTTTTCCAGGATCTCCTTTTTCATAAAACTAATGACATTTTCCTAAGAGGAAGAAAATTAAAACACATTTGCCTTTGTTATGGTTTGGATATGAGGTGTTCCCAAAATCTTGTGTATGAGACAATGAGAGGAAATTTAAAGGAGAAATTATTTGATTATGAGAGTCTTAACCCAATCAATGGAATAATCCCCTGATGGGATTAACTGAGTGACAATTGAAGGTGGGTAGGGTGTGGCTGGAGGAGGTGGGTTACTGGGGCATGCTTTTAGGGAATCTATTTTGTATCAAGTGAGTGGAGTCTCTCTCTCTGCTTTCTGATCATCATGCCCACTTCCTTCCATCACACTCTTCCACCTTGATGTTCYGCCTCACCTCAAGCCTCAAGGAACAGAAGCTGCTGTCTATGGATTGAGACCTCTGAAACTGTGAGCCCCCCCCATAATTTTTTCCTCCTTAAAATTGTTCTTGTCAAGTCTTTTAGTCACAGCAGTGAAAAAGTTGACTAAAACACCTTTGTGTTTCCAATCCTATCACTACTCACATATTTTAACATTATTACCCCAGTCATACTACAAAGGGAGATTAAATCCCAGTGTTAGGATGTGTCAGGATTGGATTGATTTGGGGTCATTATTGCTTCAAAGTTCCCTTTTTATCCTACCCTGTTTCAAAAAGATAACACTCTCATGGAAAGTATCCACTTCTGTATGGTTGCAACACTGAGTACTATGGAATGGAGACCATGAGAGATTAGAAGCCTACAATCTTGGGCTGCAGTAGCATCAAGGATATAAAATATATATATATAAATTTGTTGGGGAGAGGTTAAAGTTTCAAGGCTCCACTTGCCCTATGAGCAAAAAATATAAATGGCAACATTTTGACACAGTTCTCTGGTTCCCCCTGACCAAAGCCTCTATGTAAAATGAAGGCCCCCTTTAGGAACTAAGTTCCTCTTCTCCCAAGCCCATCTTGATGGGAACAATACTACTCAAACTATTCTTCCTTAACTAACAAAATCTGCTTTGAGTGACTTGTTTCTTGAACTATGGACAGAGTTTTGTATTTTGTTTTCTCTTTATTCAAAASAAAACAAAACCTCTGCCTGGCTTGACACCACATCATGAAGGAGGAGGAGTTAGGGTTTATATG